ACAGTCTAATTCCATTAACTTGGATCCATGATGAGTCATAATTATTGACAGACAGCTGTGTGCTAGACCTGATCCTTCTGGAGTGTGGATTACATAAATTGAGGAGTAATAAACATAAGAGGCTGCCTAATATTAACAAATTAGACCCTTTTACTCTTACTAGACAGGAGGGATTTGTAACTAAAACATCTGTGAAGTCAAGCCCTTTTATCCTTGCATGAAAAGTGTTCCCACACTCAATTCTACTTTATAAAAGGATTGCATGACATACACTTGTAAATGTCTTAAACGTGTGGAAGTTCTTAGCTTTGAGGCTATTACAAACCCAGACTTCCAGTGTTTGTACATCACATTACTGTTTGTCACAAAGCAGTGTTTTAGAAACTGGTTCAAGACCTCTGAGGATAACAGGTGACAGATCTGACACTACTAGCTACTTGGATACCCTATAGCCCATTTACCAACTTGTACTAGTTTTTGGCTTCTTGAATAGCCCTATATATAATGCTTGCAAAACATGTATATCTGTGTTTGCATAATTTAATAGTAGTAACTTTCAGCATTTGGAGTTTTTTGGGTTTTTTTTTTTTACTCCCAAAGAAAATATGCTCTGGTTCACCATTTTTCTGAAGCAAGGGATCAGGACAGCGCTTTGCAATGTCTCAGGGAAAGATCAAAGAGCTACCTGCATGTCGATCACTCTTGGATGTGGTCATTAAAGCCTGGAGCAGCCCTGGTTCTGATATTGACTCTTCATATCACCTAGGCAGGATCTTTTCACCCTTGCCAAGCCTCTTTCCCCATTTATGAAATTAAACGTACAATCCCTGCCAGATTTGGGAAAACAGAAACTTTGAGACAGAGAATTTAGTGTTATGACTAAATTCTTCCAGCAGACCACATTCACACCCCTAACAGTCTCACCTGGGTTTCTTTGCTGCTACTGGAGATCTCATTCTTCTCTTCTTTGTAATTGAGACTATTTTCCACTATCACAAATAAAAGCAAACTTACAAGAATATGTGGCATTTGTCTTTCAAACAATTCAAGTGCAAAAGTAATGCAATAATAAAAGCTTGCCTTAAAAAAAAAAAGTACTTTTTTGGGTTAACAAACAGCAGGCAGGGGAATCCCACTTCTACTCGGTTTTATTTGAGGGGATGCTAAACATACCCCAGCTCTAGTGCTGCGCAGTTGAGACCTCAAGCTTACTTTCTCATGCACTTGGACTAGAAGACTTGGCTTTACCTAGCACCCAATGTGCTGGGTGGGCATAGGCACCACCACCAGGTGAAATCAGAGCAATCCTTGGAAAAGAGAAAAAGACTGAAACTGATCATCTGTGGACATTTAAACTTGCCAGTTGTCTAGAAATACCCCTTTTTTACCCAAGACTGAGAGTATACATATGGTCTTAGTCTGAGTGTGCACTTACCTTTGATAAGGTCTAAATTATTAATAGTTGGCACTGATCCAAGTATGAATGTTTCATGTTTCACAACATTCAGTTTTCAAAAGATTTGCTACCTAATATTTGAATACATACGTGGATGAAAGTGAGATAAATGTGTGGTCTAAGCATCAGCTTAAGTTTGTAGCCTTTTTTCCCCCAAATTTTTTTTTCCAATTTCGAATCCTGTGCTTTACACATGATACACATTAATAATAAAAAGCCTTACCCCTGATTCCTCAGGGGTTCACAGTGGCACAAAATTTAGGTCTTGCCCTCTAGTAAAGGGATATAATTAACATTTAAAAGGGAGCAGTGTTTGATGCAGGGAAGAGAAAGACAACAGAGGGGACAACTCCTAGATGGCTTTCTACAGCCCCCGTCCACAGCAGAGCAGCCAGGGGCTCTCAGGGACTGGGAAAAGCTGGTTGTCAGAAGCTACATGAGGTCTTGGTTTTGTTTCACTAATCTGATGTTTTACTCAAAAGACTCTTACACTTGGAAACAGTGGTCCCTGGAGGCCCCTACCCTTACCCCTTTGATAACCTGGGCTCGAATTCTCTAAGCCCAAGTGAAAGGTTTTCCATCCCAAGACCAGCATCTACCTAGTAACCACTGCAGGAAGCAGCAGGATTTGGGTAAAAGCCAGTCTCAATTTATATATCATGTGTCCTTATTGAAGACAGTTCTTACCTTTATAAAGAAACTCCATTAACAGGAACATTTGCTTCTTCAGGTCCTTGTTCTTGATTTAAATCATGAAAGAATATGAACAGTTTCAGTTTCCTTAACTATTTAAGGATGTACTGTAAGTTAGGCAAGCATCCTTGTCCCTGTTAGCAAATGTGGAATCAATCAAGTGGGCCCTCCCCCGCCTTAGGACTGAGGAATTCAGCAGGAAGGAGTCCATAGCTGAGAGAATTATGTAACACGCCCAGCTCTCTTAGCTAGAGGCCCACCATGGTCCTTAGGGGCTGAGAAACTGTCTGAACCCCACAGTTAAATTTATAAATAATCTTTTCAATACAGACCTTACAGGGCTACTGCCCGATAAGACTTAGAAAAGAAAGGTATGTGGAACCCTGTCTTAACTACTACCCAAAGAGTTTCTCTTGAGGTTTATTAATTTTAGATGATAAAGTTTACAGACTTCCTATTTTGGTTTTTCAGTTCTGAAGTTTTAGCAAATACCTGAACCAGGTTTTTTCTGTTATTCTTAAATTACCCTTGACTTTTAACTTTTGTACCACCCACAAAATATGTATCAACTCATTTTCTTTAGTGCATCTATTCTTTAAAAGCATGTTCCATGCTTGTAGGTATGGTGGAGATTGAACCCCCTATGTCCTGCAGCATAAGCATGTCCACACTATTTAAATAGCTTCCACTCCTGTGAGGTTTCCTTACTGGGAACCAAGGTATGATAATAACTAAATCTCCTCATAGAGCAGAAGGGAGCTGGACTTCAGAAATGGACCTGGTTTGAGTTCTGGCTCCCCTCAACCAGTAGTGGGGTAACTTAAGGGGAATAGTATACTGTATTGGAAAAGCATAACTCTTTCAGCAGGTTGCTTTGAGGACTAAAAGGAGAAGTACCATGCAAAGCACACTACAGGTTCTCAAAACATATTCCTTTTCTCCTATCCAAAAAGGTTGAGAGATAAGTTAACCTTGACTGATGAAAGTGGTTTATTCATCTTTCCCAGAGACACTGCAGATATATTAACTATGCCTAGTTCAGGATGAGGACACTAGGCTCAGGATCTTTAACTTTCAAATATTAATTTACCAACCTTTTGTCAAGCTTGTATTTAACCTTTAAAGTAAAAACTAAACAAAACAGAGAAGCATAAAACCCTTCCAGTTACAGTTGGTAGGATTATTTGGGGTATTAAAATAAAGACTGTGGCCCTAACCGGTTTGGCTCAGTGGATAGAGTGTCGGCCTGTGGACTGAAGGGTCCCGGGTTCGATTCCGGTCAAGAGCATGTACCTTGGTTGCGGGCACATCCCCAGTAGGAGGTGTGCAGGAGGCAGCTGATCAATGTTTCTCTCTCATCGATGTTTCTAACTCTCTATCCCTTTCCCTTCCTCTCTGTAAAAAATCAATAAAATATATTTTTAAAAAAATGAAGACTGTGAGCAGAGCCTAGGACTTAGGAGGTGCCCACATTTTTATTGACAATCTGTACAGCCATGCAGTCTCGTGGAAAAAGAAAAACAGTCGAAGAACCTACAGTTTATGTGACCTTCATGTATAGTAGTGTCAAATGCTAAATTAGAAAACTGACCCTAACTCAAAATCCCTACTTCTGACTAGGGTTCACACTCCCCCTGCACCCCCCTGCAGGCAGTAAGTACTGTAACCTAAAAGGGGAGAGAGCCACACCTTCCCCCAAAGAAAAGGAAGATGGATTTAGTGTCAGGCTCAATTAGACCCAATTATGAAGGCTCTTCAAAAAGGAACAATGCAGCTTTTGTGATATGCTCAAGCAGAAGGCTTGGACATTGTACAAAGCAATCTTATCCAGGAGAAACCGGGTTCTAGCTCTCTTCCTGGAAAGAGGTGCTTATCCAGGAAAGTTTTATACCACTCTTATCAGCTGTTGCTGGGATCGGTACTTTTTGTTTAAAAAAATTTTTCAGAAACAACTATGAAAGATCTATGTGAACCAGGAATATAAATTACTTCGCTGTTTGAGCAGCATTTATACTCTTCCATCTCCAAAGTCCAACCACAGAATGTCAGATTATTTAGTTATTGTCTATCAAAGGGAACGCTTTGCTAAAATTGTTGGTTTTCATTTATCTGCCCCTAAATACAGTCTTAAGAACCCTCACCCTCAGCGTTGGAAGTGCTTAAAATGCAAATGTACAAGAACTCCTGGCCAACCTCCCCATCCCCCAGCAAAGTGCTCAAATACAGCAGGCCTGGAGGAGAATGTTAAAAAGAGGGGTGGAACTGCCCTCCTCCTCTCCCTAGGACCCTCACTCACACTGAGAGATTCAGTATGCATGACTGAGCCAGCGAGCAAGGAAGCAGGGACAGCCCTCTTTTAACTTTTCTGAACAATGGCTTCAGTTCCCTTCAGCCTTCACCATTTCACATCCTCCCCACACCCACTCAAAGTGTAAAGAAACCCATCTTTCTTCCCCACTTCCATATCTCACGACCTATTTTTTGAACATCACCCCTAGATGTAATTTCCACCCAAAGAAAAATTGGCTACTCTGAGGAAACTGTGACTCTTACAAATCTGGTTTTTAAAAAAGTTTCATTTTGTTCAGTTTCTGTAAATTTCCATTTTGTTGACAGTTGAAAACCAAATTATATAAATCTCCAATCTCACCATATTTCTAAAAACAAAACATTTAGATGTCAGTAGTAAACCTTATACAGATACATTTTTAACCATGAGCTTACTCATAGCACATAGGACACACCGAAGTCTATGTCTTATTTCCTTTTACTTGAAAGCACACAAACAGCACCTCTGACTTTGGCATGTACCCAAACACACTGCCTTCAAAATAATTCACAGATACAAGGGTTTTTTTTGTGTGTGTTTTTTTTTTCAAAAACATACTTCATATTTCCTCTTTTATTATATAAATATCAGTTTAACCTTTTACTGTAAGAATATAAACGTTTTAAGAGGATCTTTGTTATTATTTATACAAATTCACAAACAGTACAATTAATTGATAAAGGTCTCTGGGTTTCTTTTAACTCCATGGTCTCGAATGTTGCTGTGGAGGATTCTAAAAAAAACAAACAAAAAAATCCAACAAAAATATACATCCTACTGAAAAGCGATTTTTTTTAAAGCCACAAGTCCCAACCCCCACCAAAATAAAGTCATCTACTCCTCCATTTAGAAACAGAATTTTTAAAACCCATAAACTCCCATTTTATTAACAGAACAGAGATAAGACATGAATTTCAGTCTCCTCCCCTTCACATTATAGCCCCAGGGGCTCTGCAGGCCAACTCTGCTCCTCTGCTTCCAACAGGAAGCCTCACTGTATGACCTTTTTTTGTGAGGAAACTTGGAAGAGGGTGAGGGTAGGGCAGAATTTGCATATATAATAATAATTTTCAAGACAATCTGCATCTCAAACAAACAAAACAGTCCAAACTCTCATTTCTCCCACACATTTGTGCTATAAATTAAGTCAAGATTTAGGAACGTCGTTGGGCTCTCAAATCCCAATGGACAAAGAGAAAAATAATTATAGCCAAAATGTGGAAGTGGGACATACTGGATGGATGGGGTGGGGAAGAAGCCAAAACAAAAAAGACACAAACGCAATGGGCATCTTTCCAGTCTAGGCACAAAAATGTTTTAGTCTCAAAATATCTCTCTTGTAGAATTCCAGGGCTTCAGAGAAAAAAGTAAACTAAAACGAGGTAGCCAGACATATATATATATATAAAATTTATATATATATAATATATAGAATATATTCAGCAGAAAAAAAGGACCATGATTTCAAATCTCTTAAAAAAAAGAAAAAAAAGGACAATAAAAAAATGAAATGAGCATGAATAGCAGAGTACTGTAAAAAGAGAAATGATGAGAAGAGACTGGGATTAGCTACAAAGTGGAAGAAGGGTGAAAAGGCCGTTGTAGTTGGGTTTGATTTCATACATTTCAAAATAAAAACCAGATCACAGTATTCAAATGAAAGCTTAAGTGAAGGCAGACATTTTCTTCAACTCCCCAGGGTCAAAGGACTAGTTACTCCCCACCCCCACCCCCATTTTGAAATGCAGCGCAGTGGGGATACAGTAGCTCAATCGGCCCCTCCATTCCCCAGTAGAGAGAAGTGGATAGGTAAGTAGCTGAGTCCCTCTCTTCATCCTCAGGGAAAAAGAGAGGGGAGTACGGTAGGGGTAGCAGAGGAACCCCCAAAAGCAATGAATGGGCATGTAAGCGGGCAGGGATGCTGGAGGAGGGAGGAGAAAATGAGCCTGAGGCTTCGTGTCACTGTCCCATCTCATCCACTGCAATGATCAACGAATAAGTGTGCATGTGGAGTTGAGAGTGCAGGGAGGGTGGTGGTGACAGGATGATGAAGAGGGCGGGACAAGGGGAGTTGATGCTGCCACCCTCACCTGACCTTCTCACTGTCCGTCATCTGCCAGAGTCCCAGGTTGAGTACCTTGAGGCAGGGCAGCTGTGTGATGCGCTCCAGGCCGCGCTTGGTGATTCGGGTACAGCCATACAGGTCTATGCCAGTGAGCTGGCTCAGGTGCTCAGCAATCAGCTCCAGGCCCTTGTCTGTGATGCGCACACACTGCCCTATGTTGAGCGTGCGCAGCCCGTGCATCTGCCGCACCATGCGGTTGATGCCATCATCGCTGATATGGCAGGAGCAGAGGGAGAGAGACTTGAGGCCGTCCAGCCCCTGCGCTATGTAAGCCAGACTCTGGTCCCCCACCTTGTCACAGAAGGACACATCCAGTCCCGAGAGGCGCAGGCTGCCCATGGCCAGATGCATGATGCCCGTGTCACTGATGTTGTCGCAGGAGCGCAGGTTAAGGCTGCGAAGGCTGCCCATGTGCGACAGGTGCAGGAGGCCCGCGTCGGAGATTCCTCCGCAGAAGCTGAGGTTGAGGAGCCTCAGGCCCGTCAGACCCCGGGAGATGTGCTTGAGAGAGAGATCGGTGAGCTTCTGGCAATCCTGCAGCGTGAGCTGCTCCAGGCCCAGGCAGCCCTCCGCCGCGCTGCGCGTCATGCCGGCCAGGTGCCCGATGCCCACATCCGAGAGGTGGCGGCAGCTGCGAAGATTAAGGCTCTTGAGGCGCTGCAGGCCCCAGGCGATGAGCAGCAGGCCGGTGTTGGTGATGTTGCTGCAGCCCCCCAGCTCCAGCACCTCCAGGCCCTTGAGGTACTGGGCGATGCGGCCCAGGCTGCTGTCGGTGATCTGCTTGCAGAGGCTCAGGTTCAGGGCGCGCAGGGAGCTGATCTCCTGCACAAACGCGTGGCCCAGTCCGTTGTCGGTGAGGTTGTAGCAGCCACTCAGGTTGAGGCTCTCGATGTTGGCCATGCCCTGGATCACGTAGCTGAGGCTGCGGCGGAGGCTCAGGATCTGCACCCGGCGGATGCCCCGGGCTTTTTTTTAAAGCCACAAGTCCCAACCCCCACCAAAATAAAGTCATCTACTCCTCCATTTAGAAACAGAATTTTTAAAACCCATAAACTCCCATTTTATTAACAGAACAGAGATAAGACATGAATTTCAGTCTCCTCCCCTTCACATTATAGCCCCAGGGGCTCTGCAGGCCAACTCTGCTCCTCTGCTTCCAACAGGAAGCCTCACTGTATGACCTTTTTTTGTGAGGAAACTTGGAAGAGGGTGAGGGTAGGGCAGAATTTGCATATATAATAATAATTTTCAAGACAATCTGCATCTCAAACAAACAAAACAGTCCAAACTCTCATTTCTCCCACACATTTGTGCTATAAATTAAGTCAAGATTTAGGAACGTCGTTGGGCTCTCAAATCCCAATGGACAAAGAGAAAAATAATTATAGCCAAAATGTGGAAGTGGGACATACTGGATGGATGGGGTGGGGAAGAAGCCAAAACAAAAAAGACACAAACGCAATGGGCATCTTTCCAGTCTAGGCACAAAAATGTTTTAGTCTCAAAATATCTCTCTTGTAGAATTCCAGGGCTTCAGAGAAAAAAGTAAACTAAAACGAGGTAGCCAGACATATATATATATATAAAATTTATATATATATAATATATAGAATATATTCAGCAGAAAAAAAGGACCATGATTTCAAATCTCTTAAAAAAAAGAAAAAAAAGGACAATAAAAAAATGAAATGAGCATGAATAGCAGAGTACTGTAAAAAGAGAAATGATGAGAAGAGACTGGGATTAGCTACAAAGTGGAAGAAGGGTGAAAAGGCCGTTGTAGTTGGGTTTGATTTCATACATTTCAAAATAAAAACCAGATCACAGTATTCAAATGAAAGCTTAAGTGAAGGCAGACATTTTCTTCAACTCCCCAGGGTCAAAGGACTAGTTACTCCCCACCCCCACCCCCATTTTGAAATGCAGCGCAGTGGGGATACAGTAGCTCAATCGGCCCCTCCATTCCCCAGTAGAGAGAAGTGGATAGGTAAGTAGCTGAGTCCCTCTCTTCATCCTCAGGGAAAAAGAGAGGGGAGTACGGTAGGGGTAGCAGAGGAACCCCCAAAAGCAATGAATGGGCATGTAAGCGGGCAGGGATGCTGGAGGAGGGAGGAGAAAATGAGCCTGAGGCTTCGTGTCACTGTCCCATCTCATCCACTGCAATGATCAACGAATAAGTGTGCATGTGGAGTTGAGAGTGCAGGGAGGGTGGTGGTGACAGGATGATGAAGAGGGCGGGACAAGGGGAGTTGATGCTGCCACCCTCACCTGACCTTCTCACTGTCCGTCATCTGCCAGAGTCCCAGGTTGAGTACCTTGAGGCAGGGCAGCTGTGTGATGCGCTCCAGGCCGCGCTTGGTGATTCGGGTACAGCCATACAGGTCTATGCCAGTGAGCTGGCTCAGGTGCTCAGCAATCAGCTCCAGGCCCTTGTCTGTGATGCGCACACACTGCCCTATGTTGAGCGTGCGCAGCCCGTGCATCTGCCGCACCATGCGGTTGATGCCATCATCGCTGATATGGCAGGAGCAGAGGGAGAGAGACTTGAGGCCGTCCAGCCCCTGCGCTATGTAAGCCAGACTCTGGTCCCCCACCTTGTCACAGAAGGACACATCCAGTCCCGAGAGGCGCAGGCTGCCCATGGCCAGATGCATGATGCCCGTGTCACTGATGTTGTCGCAGGAGCGCAGGTTAAGGCTGCGAAGGCTGCCCATGTGCGACAGGTGCAGGAGGCCCGCGTCGGAGATTCCTCCGCAGAAGCTGAGGTTGAGGAGCCTCAGGCCCGTCAGACCCCGGGAGATGTGCTTGAGAGAGAGATCGGTGAGCTTCTGGCAATCCTGCAGCGTGAGCTGCTCCAGGCCCAGGCAGCCCTCCGCCGCGCTGCGCGTCATGCCGGCCAGGTGCCCGATGCCCACATCCGAGAGGTGGCGGCAGCTGCGAAGATTAAGGCTCTTGAGGCGCTGCAGGCCCCAGGCGATGAGCAGCAGGCCGGTGTTGGTGATGTTGCTGCAGCCCCCCAGCTCCAGCACCTCCAGGCCCTTGAGGTACTGGGCGATGCGGCCCAGGCTGCTGTCGGTGATCTGCTTGCAGAGGCTCAGGTTCAGGGCGCGCAGGGAGCTGATCTCCTGCACAAACGCGTGGCCCAGTCCGTTGTCGGTGAGGTTGTAGCAGCCACTCAGGTTGAGGCTCTCGATGTTGGCCATGCCCTGGATCACGTAACTGAGGCTGCGGCGGAGGCTCAGGATCTGCACCCGGCGGATGCCCCGGGCCTGCAGGCTGGGGAACAGCGACGGGTTGGCCCGGCGCAG